GCTCAGTTTTACATAACTCTATATACAGTAATGTTTTTTAATTCATTGTCTATTATAAATGAAGGATTTTAAGCTTGCATGATCAATCCATTGCAGAAAACAGAAGCACAAACTAAAACACAGTAAAAAGAACCTCTTCATGACAGTCAGGGGACTTAGCTGTAGGCTTACTTTATTTAAGTTTATTAAAGGTGGAAACCCCAGCAACTTTGCACAATGATAAGCAGATTATTTTATTTAAACTAACTGTTGACTTTACACCATAGTGATGGAATATTGAGTTTGTGCCCATAGTACAGTATATCTATCCATCCATCCATCCATCATCCATCCATCCATCCATCCATCCATCCATCCATCCATCCATCCATCCATCCATCCATCCATCCATCCATCCATCCATCCATCCATCCATCCATCCATCCATCCATCCATCCATCCATCCATCCATCCATCCATTTTCCGTCCTGCTTTATCCCAGCTGGAATCGGAAGGAGTGCTGGTGCCTATTTTCAGCTGTCTACGGATGAGAGGCTGGGTACACCCTGGACAGGTCGCCAATCCATCACAGAGCAACACAGAGACAAACTGACTAAACACCATTCACGCACACCTAAGGAGAATTTAGAGAGGCCAGTCAACCTAACAGACTCTTACATGTAGAAGTTCTTATTTTTACTTGGCAAGGTTACAAATCAAGTTTCAAAGACGAAACGTCTTGATGGACAGAAAGTCTCTTCTGACCAAAAGGTTTCTTTGGTTGGTTTTTTATTAATAAAATCCAAATGTCCACTCACCCTTAAAGCTGAGGCTGAAAATAGCTTTTTGAGAGCAATGCCTTCCAAGCTTATTTTGGTAGCTCAAATGCTAATTTCTTGTGTTTATAAAAACCTCACAAACAAGAAAACCAGTTATTGGAGGAACAGTTTTAAGGAAGCAATGAACTTTTGGTTGTTAACATTTTCCATTTTTACAAACACAAATTACGATGCGCTTTCCCAGATTTCTCTCACAGAGATGCGATTTGAGCGTGGATAGCTGATATATTACAGTTTTAATAATAACCCATCTAAGAAAATCTGATTTTGGATTAGTGTCATTAAAACCATCCTATGCTTACCCACTGCTTATAGTTACATTTAATAATTCATTACCTCTGAGACGGAAATATCTCTGGATTTAATCTCAAATATGTTACCTAGATTTACCTAGTTCTTTAATGTAAATAAAACCCTAAAAACGAGGAGATGGTGTTGATATGTTCCAGTTGTGATCATAGTTTGCAACATTGTTTAACTAAAATATGAACATTTTTCACATTGAGAGAAAGATCCTGAATCGAAAAAGAATTCAGAGAGAGAGAAGGAAAACATTTTGAGAGTAAAAATATATTTTTGAGAGAACTTTTTTCCCTTGGAAATAAGTTTCCAAATGTCAGTTGATCTTTGATTTATTCCATGCAACAATATTTTTACTTGAGTCTCAAATAACACGGGATTTTTGTTATCAGTGTGAAAATTTCTCTCCAATATATTTATTGTATTTTCTAAATAATTTTACCCTTTCAGATTCCTTACTTTCTTTAACTGAATAAATCTCACAAAATAACTCCACGTTCTTCTCGATGTAGTTTTATAAGAATGCACATACTGTAGATCATGGTGAACAGCTTTATCTTTGTTATGATTTAGGTTTCATTTACAACATTATATGCCCCAGTTCTTAAGAATCAACCCATATGGTAACACATTTCTTTTAGCAATAACAAATCTGGCAAGATCATTTTAACAATAATAAAGAACTGAGAAAATGCTATTTTAAAATCAAACCATTAAAACGCCATTCCAATAATTACAATAATCATGGACAGAAACTGTCCTTTTAACCTTAGTATTAAATTCAGTTATCAAATCTTCTCTGTTTTATTGTTTCCTTTGTGACATGATGGACTAAATGCTGCCATTGCATAACTCCAGATACTGATGACAGAAACAGTCAAAGGTGGGATGGGAGATAGATGAAGGTGAAGCATTTCTTGGGCAGATGTAGAAAACAGAAGGTGTTAATCCCTCCTACGCAGCGTGTAGATATCGGAGGCAGCTGATTAGTGTCACACTGCTTGTCGGTACAGTCCCTGCAGTTCACCAATGATGAGAGGATCTGTGTCACTCGTTTAAAAGTAAACTTTTAGAGGGTTATGTAATGAAAATGTAATTCTTCTTTCCTGGATCTGGATCTCTTCTTCAATGAAAAAAAAATTATTTGAAATGTTTCGGAAAGTTTTTTATCTTAGTGTTAAAGCTTTGATTGGGTAAAGAGGGTTAAACTAGAGGGAATTTAAGTTTTTCTTTGTCCTCCTGTTGCAATATATATTTCTCTGTTAAGTAGAAATACATTTTTCTTATTTATTTAAGCCTTTAATTCATTTTTTTATTTCAGCCTTTAACCTAACAAAAACTCATTGATAGGTGTCTGTGTCAAAATGACCAAAAGTCCATTGCCTCCAATTAATGGAATAAGGACTTATTGTACAAATATCCTAACCTATGTTTAGGGGAGGAGCAGGAAATTCAAAAAATCCAAACAGGAGAAAAGAGGAACATCCACACACGTCTTCCAAGCTGCTGTGGGTGTTATTGAAAAAAAAAAAAAAAGTGTGCAGAATTTTCACTTTTCTCCTTTCTCCAATTTAAGCCTCTTTTTTTTGCTTGCCATGACCTGGGTGATTAACAATGTATAAATCAATTTCTTTAAGAAAAGCCCCTGAAACATATGTGTGGTGTCCAAAATGCTTCCAGGACCATTTGCATCTCCTGTCTCTAAAGCCCATATGGAGATTTTTTTTTTCTAATTAAAGGAAATTTAACCTTTAAAATTTAAATATTTTTATACAGAAGGAAAAAAAAACTATTAATTTAAACTGGAATGTAGTTTGTTCAGAAAAAATTGTGAATATTTGATATGCTGAAGGGCTGCACAGTGACATAGACAGCACCCCTCGCTACCCCAGCCAGGATAAGCGTGACAGAAAATTGATGGATGGATTATATGATGAAGTTAACGACGGTTGTGGGTCCTTATGTTATCTGTCCTCTTTACCTTTTTCTGTCAATTTTACATTTTCATAATTTAACAATGCATTAAACATGTTTTTGATTAGACTCCTGGTTTGTAAAAGAGGCCTCGTTTTAGAAATGGCAATTCCTGTCTAACCTTATGGGCCATTTGGAGGTCAGGTGAATAACAGTAAATTCAACTATTTAATCTGACAGTGTTTCTCCTGTAACAATTTTTATCCTGTTATGATATAATAAATTTTTCCAAATTTTGATACAATTCATTATTGACAATTATAAGAACCTGTACATCATTCCAGATTTTGTCTAATATAACAGAAAGATTAAATAGCTCAAACACCATTACCCAAATGTGTTTTTCATTCTGCCTAAGTAGGAATATTGAAACAGCGCTGTGTAGAAGCTGTCGTGTTAAACCTTCCAGATAAATACTAAGCTTATAGTGAGTACCTACTTTCATGAGTTTGATTTAATTTCATTTATTTTGGCAGTTTTCCCTGAATTTCCGAAAATGTAATTAAACCATAATAATCTGTGGCATTGTAACATGAAATACCTTCGCAAACCTAATACCATTAATTAAAGGTATTCATTATTTATTAATTGCAGTTGTAAGGTTTTATTAGATAGAACAACACAAAGTAATGTTTAATTAACTGAGATACAAACCTAAATGTATTTCTGTTTAGCTCCTAGGAAATCTGCCTCCTCTACAAACGCTTAATTCAGCTGAGGCTAAAAATATTCTACTGTTGGGTATTGCTGACACTGATTGCTTCGCCCTATAAAAATTAACTTAAAGACGAAATGAAAGAAAAAACTGATGACATACTGATTTTATTTTTCCATTGACATTTTATTGAAAAATAGCAATATAATATAATGTACAATAATAATAAAAATACAAAAATCTGTACATTCTGGGACTTTGCAGTACTTCTGGAAGACTGCCAACAACAACAAAAAAGCATTAAAATGTATAATTGCTGTTTTCAACAGAACATAGTGGATATAAATGTGTTTTCCTTTGTGCAGCAGACTGTGCTAGTTACAGTACACTTTGAAGCTTTTCTTTTCCCAAATCTGACATTCTGAACATAGAATGAAGACTTTGGTAGTGTTGATATTGAAACATAGTCTAGTCTTCTCACAGCACAAAAAGTTAATTTGTTTTAGAGGTTTTGACACAATCTTCATTCAGATTGCAGCTTCTCATGTCAATTCACTCTGCTTTACTATATTTTAAAACCTGTGCAAGAGGTTTGTCTTTAGTGATCATTTCTTATTCAAGTTGAAGCCTAAAAAATAAAAAAAGGAAAATAATAAACATATTAGTTATGAAAACTAATACATACATATACATATATATATATATATATATATATATATATATATATATATATATATATATATATATATATGTGAGGATAATATATATATATATATATATATATATATATTATCCTCATTCCGACTGCTCAGATGAAGGCTTGATGGAGTGGCTCAAGATAAGGATGATCCATGTAAAGAAAATATGATAAAAGCTGTACACACATTCTTTCAAAACAAACAGTATTAAACTCCATAAAATATTATACCTTTCAGTACCAAATCTAATCAGGTGGTGGTTTAGCCAAATAGAACTATGATAATAATAATAATACCCTTTGGTATTTTTCTGTTACAAACTGCAAAGAAGAAAACAGAAGCAACATCATAGCAGCACTTCTTTTTGAACATTTACATTCCCTATACTGAAATCCTTTAATTCATTTTAAATTAATGATTTGTCATTTTTGGAGTGAATAACACTGCTCTGCTTAGAGGTTTCAGTTGGTTCAAGCAGCTCATTGCAGGTGGTTATGACCAGTTGTTAGAAAACATAAAGCTCAGAGAATCAGCGCCTTCCTTTCAGGGGAAACATTTTTTATTTTTTTTTATTGCATACAGAGACTAATCTGTGATATCTCCTTGCTCTGAGGCCAGCTCATGAACAAATGCTATGCTTTGTACCTTCTTTGTTCCAACTGTCTCTGCTCTTTGGATTTAGGTAATAGCGTCAAAATTAAAGAGACACAAGTGTCTAAGTTCTCTAATCTGTAGCAGCACTTAAAAAATGAGAAGAAAACTTAAAAAGCGCCTTGTTCTTTTGTGGGGTCCTTCTTTTTTACTTCTTAGGTCATTACAACAACTCTTCCTCTTTGCAGACTTAGTGCAGAGAGTGGGGAGTTCTTGGAGGAGAATAAGTTTTGCAATGAGCACCTTCTTAGTGCTGCATTTCATCATATTGTGTGCGGTCAAACTTAAGACAGAGCCTTAGAGTCTTGAACCTTTTCCGGCTTTTACCAGCTGTACCGCTTGACTTCCCCTTGTTCCTGACACGACATGTCAAGCTTTCAGAGCAGATAGGGGATTTCAATCTCTTAATTGCTCATGAAAAATCTGAGTCGTTATATTTCTGATTCTCGCCTCAAGGACCGCGGCTCCAGCGGCACCATGGCTTGGCTGTGTTCTGTCTCTGAGATGCTGTCTGTCTGTGTGCCATCGGGACCAACGCTGCCCCCATTCCCCTCATCTGTGTCCTCCTTTTTGTCCAGTGCCATCTCATTTTCATAGCAGAAGGAATTAGGGCTAGACAGGATGTATTTTTTCTCTGCCAAGTCTCTGGCACTGCATAGGGGTGTGTTTAGCACTTCGTACGTCTTGTGGAAGCGAGAGTAGTCCACCTTGTAGTAGTTCTTTTCTTCAAAGAGGACAGGCTCGAAGCGGTGGCCCCAGAGGATCTCGTTTGCAACATAGGAACTGCGGCATTGAGTGGTCATTGCCGTTGCCTCCACCATACCCTCTAGGATCACCACAATTTCAAACTCTGAGTTCTCCAGGTCTTGCTTGCTCATGTTGTAAAAGGGGCTGTCCTCATTGATCTCATGGACAATGGTGATCGGGGTGACCAGAAAGATTCGATCAACTCCACTGTCGAAGCCCACATCTATGTCCATTTGGTCAAGAGGGATATACTCCCCCTCGGCTGTCGTTCTGGATTTTAGAAGCTGAGCTCGAACATGAGCCTCAACAAGGTGGCTCTTTCGTAGGTTGCCCACACGCCACATCAGGCAGAGCTTGTTGTCCCTTATGGCTACTGTGGCATTATGGCTAAACACCAGAGTTTCGTTTCTCTTTTTGGGTTTGGCCATTTTTGCCATGACAGCACCAATGATAAAAGCATCAATGATGCACCCAACAATGCTTTGAAAAACCACCATAAAGACTGCAACAGGGCATTCCTCTGTCACATATCTGTAGCCATAGCCAATGGTGGTTTGAGTCTCGATAGAGAAAAGAAAGGCAGCAGTGAAGCTGCTCACATTGGAGATGCACTTCTTGCTACCACTTTCCAAGTCCCCGTGAAAGATGGCCACCAGCCAGAAGATGCACCCAAAGAACAACCATGATAGTAGGAAGGCGAGACAGAAGATGATGAACATCCACCTCCAGCGGATGTCCACACAGGTAGTGAAAATGTCAGCCAAGTAGCGCTGACCTTTCTCGCTCACGTTGATGAACTGCACGTTGCAGTGACCATCTTTCTTCACAAAACGGCTATGCGGCTGGTGCCTCGTGTGCACCTTTGCCTTGCCGTTGCCGTAGCCATTTGGTACCCCCGTGGTGGCGAGCTTCATGCTGTCCTCTTCTGATGACACTGTGCTGTAACGGCTGGCTCGCACACTTCCCATCACCTCAGTCTGGGAGGGCTGTGCTGCTTCTGCTTTAGAAAACAGTCTGAGTTTCTGGAAAAAGCGTTGGAGAAACAGTTTTGAAACACTTCCAGGGACCGACTAAGGGAGGAAATGGTGTCAAAGTGAGGCGACAGAAGGGACGCCTCAGGTCAAGAGTGCAGCAGGAGGAGGATGAAGTGGTCACTCCTCTTTCATCAGTGGACTGGACCTCATCAATAAAAATTGCTGCAGAAACACAGAGAAAGGAGATAGCTGTTAGATAAACCACACTAGAGAATCACTCAACTCTAATAAAGCAAGAAATTATAAAACTTGATTAAATATTTGTTAACAGAATACTACATTTATGGAGTCTGAATAGAACCATGAAAATGTTGTGGGAACTTATTTGCACATCAGCTTTTGCTCAGCTATGACAAACATATTTAACTCAGACTTTCCAGCTTGCACCGAGAGAAGTTATACAATAATTGCACAAAGTTCATTTATTACTCTTTTAGAAATATGTGCTATTTTTTAAGCTGTACTTCATGACTTGATCATTTCTAGTACAAGTAAGAGAAATAAGGGTTTCCATGCCATCTGAAGCTTTGGGGCAAATAATGGGTCAGGGGAATAGTTCAATGTTTTTATTTCTAAGAGAATGTTTTTTTTTTCCTTTTCATTCTTAACATAGTATGCAACAAAATATTTCAATATATAAAAGAAAAATTTTGTAAACTTCCATATTTCAATATATAAAAGAAAAATTTTGTAAACTTCCAGCATTTAAATATTGATATACATAGAAACCAGTTTGTGCATGACTTGTGAGATTTGTTAAGCATGCTATTTCTTTTAACTTTCAGGAGTTTACACGTCCCACTGTCAGCATGGTTTGTGCGCTTGGTCTTTGGTGGAGAAGCATAAGCTCCATCAAATGATGCACAGCTTGTTGACTCACAATTAACTCCCGCTGGGAGGGTTTCATCTTTCTATAATGCTTCTCCCAGCACAACCAAAGCATCTCTGTCCTGGCAACAAAGTCCCAATCGACCACTTGCCCTCTGATATTTGTTGTTATACTAGTAATGACTTTCTCTCAGCAGCTCTCAACTAAAACTGAAACGATGGTGGGTAGCGAAAGCTAGAAACTTCTTCTTCCTTCTAGACGGAGGCAGGTCTTATAGACTGCACACAACCCCTGCTGATTCATAGTGAAGTTTAACACCTGCAGAACATATAGCTGGCTGATGCAACTTATTGGCGGTGTTGAACATCAAAAGCGGAAGTCTGATCAGCTTGGAATATGAATGCAATTCAATGTGCATGCTTAGTCAAAGGTAGTGCAGAGAATATTTAATGCATTATATCTGATTTCTTTTTGGTTGCTTGATGCTTTTATCCTATGTTTAAGATAAGTTGACTGCAGAAGAAATACTTTATATTTTGTTTTCTGGTAATTCTTGCAAAAAGGAACTTGAGAGGTTGCACAAAACTTCCTAATAACTTAATCAAAGTTGTATATTATTAAAAGCATTTACTGATGCTTTTGTGTCTGAAAGAGGAAGGATCCAAACATAAAGGACATATTTCAACAGGTGTATGAGTGAAAGGGGTGTATAGTTCAGTGTTATAATGTATATACATTTGAAGGGACTAATGAATTAAGTTGTTTTGACATATGATCGCACAGTGCGCGCTGAAAGGGAAGGAAGTCTGAGCGCGCACAGAAAGACAATTGAGAGCATTTCTTAAAAGAAAACCAATTTGATTATTATTAACGCTCTCATTAAGGCATTATATCAGATTTAAACAGAAGCAATAAACTTTTCCTACCTGTTGCTCATCTATGAACCGGCTGGGATCAAAGTGTCTGAAGCGTAATCCAGACGCTCCTGTGGCCTCCGTTTATCCGTCTGTTATTTACTTTGGCCCTAACGAGCTGAAACGTTCCTCATGTCTCTAGAGGACCGTTGCTGATAATGTTGCTCGCGCTGATCTCCCCAAAGCGTTTTATGACACATGCACCGGCGACGACCCGCCCCCCTGCTCTGCGCTAAGCCAATGGCACGCGGGCTGGGGGAGCGCGCAAAGTGGAACAGGATAACTGATCAAGGTTTTCAGGTTTGACTGACACCACTGGTGTGTGCAGGACACAGAGTAGAAAAAAAGCTGACTTAGTAAACACAAATTAAACTCCAGGTGTTAAAAGGAAGCTGAAACTAGAACATAATTACCAGGAATTGAGCAGTGGAGGATTTACTGTAAGATTTGAGCAGTATTACCTGTATTCTTTCTTTCTTTCTTTCTTTCTTTCTTTCTTTCTTTCTTTCTTTCTTTCTTTCTTTCTTTCTTTCTTTCTTTCTTTCTTTCTTTCTTTCTTTCTTTCTTTCTTTCTTTCTTTCTTTCTTTCTTTCTTTCTTTCTTTCTTTCTTTCTTTCTTTCTTTCTTTCTTTCTTTCTTTCTTTCTTTCTTTCTTTCTTTGCTGTTTGACTCCACATATTCTAGATAATTATAATAATATCAAATAGAAGTAGAAAACTAAGTGTATTTCAAATATATATTTTTGAATTTCCTTTTGTTTTGTCTTTCTTTTTTAAATGAGCCTCTGGAAAAAAAGGGTTCTGTTGGAAACACTGACTCACTCAATACAGGGTCTACATGCCTGCATTATGATCTTACTGTCTTTCTCCACTGAGATATCAGGTTGCTTCAGATGTTTAGACTGTGCATCTGTTGCCCTGTAATTTTAGGACAGCCCTTAACCATGTTGTCTTCCAGTTCAACCATTCTTCCCTCTCACTAATTCATCACAAACATTAACCCTACAGACTTTTTTTTTTTTTTACACAGCCTTAAGTTTGCCTTGTCAGGCTTATTTTTAGCTCAAGCTTATTTATAGAAGTGCTTATATTTAGTCCAAACCACCTGTGTAATTGAACTGTGTGTGTTTGTTTTCCATGCCCAAATTCCAGCAAGGCGTGCGGGGATCCAGTGCTGCGTGTGGACCACAAGGTGGAGGGATGGAGTCTAGATAACCAGTGATGTTTCTCTGAAGTCACACACACACAACCTCAACTCTCCTGTGTGAGTGCTGTGTGAAACAGTAGGAGGACTTTTTTGTCAGAGTCGTCTAGATGCAGCAGCAGCAGCATCTAGAGGATTAAGATGTGTATACACATCATGCCCTAGTACTTCTTTGCAAACAGGCCTTTATTTCTATGCTTTTAAAGAGACTATTATAATTATTATTACATTTTCTTTTTCTTTTTGGCTTTGTTAGGACATGTACTGTAGCTCACAACAGTTGTCATTTTTTCAATGTCTGAAATAGAGAACTGTGTTAAAAGAGAGAGTGACTCAGTATTGGAATAAGAGCTAATGGTTACAAACTTTACAGTTTTACTTTTTAAAACTTTTTCGTGAACATCATTTTTCAGAGTCTAAATATAAATTGATATTCAACATAAAACATAAATATGCAGATATTTAAGCTTTTTATGTTTGAAAAAACAGGACTATATATTTATATAATTAAAAGAGGTAATTAGAATTGAAAAAAAGGCTGACACTATTTGTTATAGACAATAACACTAAGTGTTATAGGCAATCGCTATCTTTCCTGTAAGGTTAGGTTACTTCCTTTATCCCTGTTTGTGTTGAACCGTGATAAACAATATTTGGGATGAAATGCGTCAATTTATCTTTTACTTAGAGGGAAAATATCACACATGTTGTGTTTACTTTTGATGTTCCATTTATTTCCCACAATATGTATGTAAATGTGCACCAACTCACCTGTAGGAAGCTCCTTGAAGAACCTTTCAAAGTCAACTTAAAGCATACATGATGACATATTGGCTTACGGAGTATTTATTCATTATGAAATATTAGAGGTAAAAGGAGGGGAGATGACTTCCTTAACTGCGACACCACATTTCAGATTTCAATGAAGGAATAGCATTATGATAGCTTAAGGCTCCAAAAAAATTATTGCATGATTCAATTTCAATTCAATTCTGTTTATTTATATATTATATAATGCCAGTTCACATCACATTTCATCTCAAGGCAGTTGACAGAGACAATTCAATCAGATCATTCATTCAGATTGGTTTAAAGTTTTCACTCTAATTAAAAGCAGATTATATTGACCCTTTTAAGGCTCCAAAATGTTATGACTGAGACAGATGATGCTCTTTCAGCCGTACAACTGTTTATAAAAGGGACAATGGTTAAAATAAAAGTCAAACCATGTGTTAGAGTAATTGCCATAACTCTCTTTTTTAAGTCTAAGTAAATTTGATCTCTTTTAGTATGATTAAAGTATAGTCCTAACTGCAGAATATGTCTTCTTTTGGTAACAAAGGATCCATCTGCTGTGCTGCTCTTTGTTGAACAGCCGCAGCATCACCTTAAAAAATCCATTTCAACCATCTTTACCTGCTCTGCATTTTAATTAAATTATTTTTTTTTAAACAAAGTAAAATACCTGTTCAAATTCTCAGTCATCCTGGTCACAAAAAAAGAAAAACAAAACAGACTTAATGCGAAGTCAGTTCGACTTTAACTCAGTTTTTCTGAAACTACTGTATTTTGACATCTAGCAGACGGTCTGTAATTCCAGTGGGCAATTCCAGCTCCAGAGGACTGGTATCCTGCCACTTTTAGATGTGTGCTTGGTGCAACACACCTGTATCAAGTAATTAGGTGATTAAAATGACTCTGGAGAATTCAACAGCATAATGAGGGGTTGAATCAGACATTTGAATCAGTTTTTTTAAAATGATGCAGAATAGCGTCCTTCAGAAACTGGAATTGCCTGCCACTGCAGTAGAGCAATCTGTGGTCGGAGCACTGATGTCCGGTTGACTCCAATTTAAGCCTGTTTTGTTGAAAATAAAGTGATGCAAACTCAAGATCCGTCTACCAAAACATGTTGTTTACAAAGCAAGAGCAAAACTAATTAAAGACATTCATGACTAATGATTAAACATCCTTCTTTTTATTTTGGGAAAAAAAAAAAAACTTCCTCTCAGACTATGGCCATTCTTTCAGTAAATTAGCAGAGACTCAGCAGATGTGGACTACACATTGTTGCATCATTATTTACTCGGGGAGGTCAGACAGACCTGGAAAACTGAAACACTGGAGTTCTGGCAGCATCTGTTGTTAAAAAGTTTTCATTTAAAAAAAGCAAACCACTGCTCCAGACAAGTTTCCAAATGTGAAGTCACTCTTCATTTACAAGAACCCGCAAACAATGAATCCATGTGAGATATAGTCTGTTTTATTTGCTCAAAGATTTGGTAATATTTTGCTCATTATTGTTTTATTGCTAATTTTGCTCCAGGTACTTCACAACTGGTGAATTAGGTAATAAGTTAAGTAAAGTCAAAGCTGATTCCCTACAGACCAATACAGAGATTGTTCCCTTATCATCACCTGACCAAGAGTTCAGAATAGTACTCCCTATGAGATTGCTCACAGATCTTACTATAGATTCAAATGCTTTTACTCTTCACCCTCTGCTTTTTTACCTGCAAGACCAAATGGGCTGTGCATGCATTCCCTTCATTCCTAAACAAAATCCAAACAGAGTTAATTATTGTGGACTTCAGGAAAATGTCTATCCATGAGAAATCCATGGGTCCTCCTGGAGATGGTATTGAACTTCCTCCTTTTTTGGAGTCTACATCACAGAGGATCTATATTTGATGGGAACAAAGCAGAGCTGGTGAAGAATGGCAAACAGAGATTCCAGTTTTTAAGAATCCTCAGGAAAAACAAACAAACAAACCAATTAATCAAAACATCCCTGATCGTGTGCTTTAATTATTTGCTATAGTTTTTTAAAAGCAACATTGTTGTTGCCTTTATGTGATTTCCTGGTACACTAATACACAGATCACTGAGTTGCATTAAAAGCAATTGTGGAGTAAGATGCAGAAGTCTGTTCTGTAACCAAAGGGTCACCGGGTTCATTGCTTGCTCTGTTCATCTCCTTCATTGTATCTTTGGGCAAGACCCCTCGCCTGCATTGCCGGTCAGAAGGCCTGGTGGGGCCTGTCATGGAGGAAGTTTTGATTTCAGAGGTGTGTGCTGAACTTATATATAAGTTCAGCATAATTTCTAATAGATCTGTGTTTGTTTCGTCTACTTTCTCCTGCATCTCTGCTGTTCCTCTCCGGACAAAACATATGGATTCATGACATGACATGACATTTTGGGTGCAACAATCCATGTAGATTAGAAACACATGGTCTTACAATTATTATGAGCTTGGTGATATAAAATCACATTCGTAGATCGTACTTTTTTTTCATGATAATAACAATATATAACAATAGTATGTTTTACCGTATTTATCAGCATTTTTAATAAAACACATATACTTTACAAGGTTATTGAGAGCTTTATAATGCGGTGGAGGTGTTTTAGGAGGTGCAACACACACTGAAAAAAGTGAAACAAAGCTGTTTTTCATTTAATGTGTTTGTTTTCTTTCCAATGAAAAAATAGTTTGCTCAATTAAACTAAACTTTCTTAGTTATGTTTATGGTTGAATCTATTTTTTTTACTTTACTATAACGTAAACTGACAGCAAGGCACCAAACTGATTTTTTTTATTTTAGGCAGTCTTTTTATTAGATTGAGCAATTTGCGCATGCAAATTCTTTAAAAGTTCTGGCGGCAATTGTACTTCCGCCTCAGCCTCCACCAGATGTCGTGCTGAAGAGAAAAATATCAGGCATTTTGCGCAACATTAAGGTAAGTCATTACGATTTTTAAAGATGACTGGGCGTAAACCTTATTCCCATAGGCGGATCTACTGGGGTGGCATAGGGTGGCAAATGCCACCCTAAATGACAGCCTTGCCACCCCAGCTGCCACCCCAGTTGGCGGTAGGGGTGGCGAGGCTTATAAATTATGGATCATTTGAGAATTACGACCGCTAATTTCTAATGTCGGACTGCAGTGAATGCAGCACGAA